AACGAATAATATTGGCTACTTACAAACAGCCGTAATATGTCTAAAAACGAATAATATTGGCTACTTACAAACAGCCGTAATATGTCTAAAAACGATAATATTGGCTACTTACAAACAGCCGTATGATTCTTAACAGACGTACAACCGATTGAATCGAGTGAATTCTTATCGTTGAAATTTTCTCCCATGCTATATTTCAAGCAATAGTGATGAATATCTGTACACCCGCAAAGACATCTTTCGTTCGGTTCATCATATCTACAGGTGACATCGCGAATATTTTTCATTAATTGCGGATTCGTTTGCATCAACATGCGTTTATATTCTGGATCGATCATCGTCCGAGCCCATAGGATTTTGCACTGCGAACAGCTCTCAGATCGCGTCGCAAAACCATCGATGATATATTTGTTTTTCTTTGCCGAAATCTCCTTATAACACAATCGATGAACAATCTTCAGATGACAGTACATACACTCATGGGTTTCGCCGGGATGAATCAATTCGCCGCGTGATTCTAGATACTGACGGAGACTTATGTCATTATCGAGTGCCTCTTGGCGATCGCGAACAGCTTCCGGAGGGGCACGATGGCACTCGTGAAAAAACGTGTATTTACAACCCTTGGCGGTGCAGCTGAATACTACACGATATTTCGGATAATGAAGTTGTATGTATTCTTTTAGCACCGCGGAGCGTGTATCTCGTACGGTCCCCTTGGCCGAACTGGTTCGGCGCATGGGCGTAACAAGCGATGTAGTGCTCGCTTTAGAACATGCCAGGGGATTTTTAACGAGATTACATTTTTCGTTTTTCAACTGTTCCGGAATATCGCGTATATCAGTTTCGTCCACAACAGGGAATTCGAGCGCGTCAAGAATATCTAAAGTTGCATTATTGGCCTGTAGCGTTTCGGGAAGCTGTTTCATCAAATTTGAATCGCGTATGCGCGCGTTAACTTTTGAGGTCTCGTCAATTTTTCCGCGGCGTACGCGCGTGTCCAAATTGATATCCGATGATTGTAAAATCGATCGTTTTCCAATTATCGCAGCACTCACAGCGGTATCCACGTCCGTTGATACGTCGCCATGTTTATCATTATTCGGTACCGACGACTCATCAACTACAGATTCGCGTGCTCCGCGTTTGGGCTCTGGCGAGATCGAGCGTTCGCAACTGTCTCTTTTAACGACTTTATGCTTTACAGAATCGTACTCGTCGCGATTGGCCTTCGCATTCTTTCGCGTGGCGTCAGACTCGACGGATGCTCTAGACTCGCGCACAAATTTTCGACCACGCGTTGGCTCTTCCTCACGATCGGGAAAGTCCCGACGTCGTTGCGGCGGCGGCTTCGCGGACTCTTCGCGATCGGGAGAGTCCCGACGTCGTTGCGGCGACTTCGTCGACTCTTCGCGATCGGGAGAGTCCCGACGTCGCTGCGGCGGCGGCCGCCTCGCGGACTCTTCGCGATCGGGAGAGTCCCGACGTCGTTGCGGCGGCGGCTTCGCAGCCTCCTCGCGAGATTTTCGACTACGCGACGGCTCTTCGTCGCGATCGGAAGATGAGTCCGGACGTCGTCGTTGATTGGCGTATTTATCGCGATCGAGCCGTCCGGTCTTACGCGCACCCTCAGATTCGACGGATCTGCGATCGATGGTATTATCGTCCCGGGAATCTCGGCGATTCCTGTTACGCGGCGGCTCTTCGTCGAGATCGGAAGAGTCCCGCCAACGTCGCCGATTGGCGTTCTTGTCGCGATCGACTTTCTCGGTCTTTCGAGCACTTTCCGGGGAACCGCATCGACGTCGGTCTTCGAAATTGCGGCTCACCTTTGCCCGCGGCGAGGCTTCCTCGTCTCCGGACGCAGGTGAATAATCGCGGCGCACGTCTTGCTTCTTTTTTTTGGGGAGTGACTCGACTTTACTATCCTTGCGTACGGTTGTGCGCCGCTCGGAACAATCTGACGAGGAATCGCGCCGTTTCCTATTGACGCTGACGTGAATTGGCGAGACACTCGAAGAGTCGCGCCGCCCCGAAGAAGTTTTTTCAATTGATTTGTATACCTTCGAGACAGATCGCGAACGAGAACGCCGGTTTTTATTACTCTTCACTGCTTCGGTTTCGCTGGCCGATTCCGCATGATATTCGACTGCACGTTCTCGCGGTCTATTGGAGGTACGGATGCCGTCGCTGTCGCCGCCGCTGCTATCCCGCTCCTTCTCCAGTCGATCGAACCGCCGCTGAGGCCCAATACGTTCTCCAGTTCCGTCCTTACTATTTGCCGTATGCTCTCGGCGGACGGTATTCGATTTAAACGATCCCCTGGAGTCGAGCATCCTGAGTTGTTAAAATGCACTAAGACCACGTTATGTTTGCCGCGATATGTTAAGACATACGCGAAATACTGACCTTCGTAATGATTCTTTGGGTATATTTCGCCACGACTACGAAAGTACGGTGGAACTGCTAATTTGGACTGCAAAATGTACAATAACGAATATGTAAGTAGAATATCCGAAAAAGGTTTTTTAGCCACCGCACTCCTGACTCTAACGCGAGGACACGCCGTATGAACGATGGATCGCTTCGGGCGAAATTTATATACTACAAGAGGTCGAGTAGGGGAGATACTTAAATTGAGATTCATCAACCCGTTGACACGTAAGATTTCTTATTATCACAGTTATGCTTTCTCAACCAATCGTCGCGAGTCGTACAAGAGATATGTTGTTTTGAGCTTGATAACGACGTCGTGGTCGCGACCACGCGAGCAAGTACCTTTATTAACATCGTGCGCGTATCTTTATTCTCGTAGATTATATATTACAGA